TTCGCAACTCGTTCGTCGTTTCCCTCGATTCGGAACAGAAATACTGTAATCGCATGCACCAATATGGTGTACGTACGTTTCGACGATCAAGCTTCGACGATACAAACGGGGGTTGCGCTGCGTATCGCGGTGATCGACCGCCGCACGAAATGTCCTGTGATATCGTCTGAATGCTTAATCCTTGGAATCGCGTGACAAGAGAGTCCCGAGGTAAAACTGCTCCTCTACGACGAGTCGTGCGCGTCCCTCGATCGTTCTCGGAGGTGGATACGACGAGCCGGTGGCGGGTCGTTAGGATCTAACGGGGCCGGGGCCGATACCGGCGGCGACGTCGACGACGGCGGAGGCGGCGGCGGTGGCGGCGGCGATGGCGGCGTCGGAGGCGCAACATATTTATCGCCGACTCGTGATCAAAGCTTACGACTCGATCCGCGAAGAAGAAGCGTCGGCGATATTTCGAGAATAGCTGTCGCGCGTCGAGACTTTTACTGTCAGGGTCTGACGAGAGGCTTACCTCCGTAGGGGGCGGGGTATTGTCCGGTTAGAAGGGGATAGCCTAAGCCCACGTGCGTGTGATGATGCGTGTGAACGTGTCGCTGAGGCGGGGGCGATCTATTGTCTTTCGGCAAGGTTCCGGTCCCAGCGTCGACGGCCGATTGCTGCTGCGGTTGCTGACCACCCTGTTGGTTCTGCTGCTTCGACGACGGTTGCTGTCCCTGAGGCTGCGGCGGCCCGGGGCCGGCGCCTCCAGCCGCGCCGGCCACCGAGCTGGGCGGTCCGCTGGGCGGCCTCGACGGAGTCGGCCCCGCCGACGAGGGACTCGCCGAGGCCGTGGACGTTTTCGGGGTAGGGGACTTGAGCGCACGCTCCTGAAGCTCGTGTATCTTGTGCGCCGAATAATACTGATTTGCGTGGTGCTGGAGCAGATCCAACGCTTTGCCGCCCGGGGGCCTACTCAGATCCTCCGGCGCGTGATACCTAGGCAACTGGTGCAGGTACGGGTTGCCGGAGTACGGCCCCGGCACGAGCATAGGACTGAGACCCCGGTACACTGGATGGCCGGGGTCGAACGGTAACGCGCCGTAATGCTGAGGCTGCATATAGCTAGGATGAATGTAGGCGTACTGTGACGTCGGCGGAGGAGGACCTTGCGTCTCCATCGTCGGCTTGACGCCCTCTTGCTTGTTCTTCGAGTCGTCGCTCTTCCCCAGGTCTTGCGGTTTCTCCTGTTTCGGCTGATGCTTCGGGCTCGGCGGAGGCGGCTTCGCCTGCTGGCTCTGTTTGCTCGACTCCTCTTTCCGCCTTTGATCGGCCGGGTACAGGTAATACCTTCTGTCGTCCTGCATCGGGCCGGGCGGCGGCGGCGGGGGACCTGCTCTCTGACTCTGAGATCCGTGATACACGTGATACGGGCTCATCTGGCTCTTCATCTCGATGCTTTCCTTCAGTATCTGATGATTCTCGTGTTGCTTGTCCTTCAAGCTAGGCTGCTGCGGTTGCGGTTCCTGTTTGATCTTCGCCTTCTGATCGTGGAACTCTTGCTCCTGCTGCTGCTGCTGTTGTTGCTGTTGCTGCTGCTGCTGTTGTTGCTGCTGCTGCTGTTGCTGCTGCTGCGTCACCGATTGCGGTGGCTGGTACGGGTAACCGGGTGGCATGTAACCACCGTAGCTACCGTAATAATGAGGCTGCTGCTGCGGTTGCGGGACCGACTGATTCAGCTCCTTCTTCTCCTTCTCCGCGACCACGCTCTGCAGGCTGGCCATCGTCGGCATCTGCGGTATATTCAGCGGCTTCATCTCTTGCTTCGGTACAAGATCTGTCGGCTTCTGATCGATCGGTTTGCTCTCTTGAACGCTCGGCACCAGGTAAGGCGGTTGCCCGTAGTACGGATACATGCTGAAGTGCGCCGGTAAGTGAGCGGCCGCGGAAGCCTTGCCGTCCTTCTCTTGCACCTGCTTCGATTTGTCGGTCGGCTCCGCTTCGAGGACCGGCGCTGCGTCGTCGGAAATGTCCGAGTAGGCCGGGCTCTGGACGTCGTCCCTGCCGGAGTCGACGATCGGCGCTTCCAACGGAGACGGATGGGGGCTGCCTCCGGGCGACTTTCTCGATTTCTTCTTGTAGCTCGGAGGCTTGGTCGCGCGCGGGTCCTTGCTCTTGTCTTGCTCGGGCATCAGCGCGGCGGTCGGTTTCACCTTGAATTGCGGCATTTTCGCGTGCAACGAGACGCTCTGGTACGGCTGCAGATGCGACTGCACCGTCTGGCCCGGATGTCCGGTCTGCTGTGGACCGGTCGCCACCGCCGCCGCGGCCGCCACCACCGCGGCCGCCTGCTGCGACACCTGAGCAGCGAGACCCTGAAGGCCCGGATGTTGGCTTCCGATACTCTGCAAGCCGGTCGGTTGCGGCGGCGGTGGCTGCTGCTGCTGTTGCTGCTGCTGCTGCATTCCGGCTTGCTGCTGCACCACGTGAGCCTGCGTCGGCTGGCCCAATTGCGCCGACAGCGAATGCTGCACGGAGAGCTGGTGCGCGGACGACAGCTGCTGCTGCTGCTGCTGAACGGCAGACTGAAGCTGCTGCGACTGTTGGCTCGACTGAAGCTGTTGCGACGCGGTCGCCGTCGGCTGGCCAGGCTGCAGCGCCTGCTGGTTCTGCTGCATAAGGGAATTCTGTTGTTGATGCTGCGACATCTGGGACGGCTGAGGTGGTTGCGGGATATTCAACTGCGGGGGCATGTTGTTCACGCTCGGATGAGGCGACTGTATCGGCCTGGGCGATTGGCTGGCGCGAGGACTCGGGCTCTGCGGCGAGTTACTGCTACCCAACGACGATTGACTTGGCTGCGTTTGCTGCTGCTGTTGCTGCTGCTGTTGTTGCTGCTGTTGCACGGACTGCTGCCTCGCGGAACTCGACATCGCGTTCGATGGTGCGGGCAGGTCGTCCTGACCGAATCTCAGCACACCCGGCTTCACGATACTCTTGTCCGAGCTGTGAACCGGCGCTGGCGGTTCTATGCTAGGCGAGGCAACCCTCGACGGCGGTGGTGGCGTTTCCGGCGGCAAACTGCTGGCCGGGGGACTGGACGGCCTGAGCGGCGTACCCTCTGGCTTGTCCGCCGGCGATTTCACCGGTGTCGCCGGGCTAGGTGCCTCGATGTTGCTCTCATCGTTCTCCGACATGCTCGTGATACCCTCTTTCGTGTCATCGTCGTCCGCCGAGCCGTGCGCGTGGCTCTGATGGTACTTCAGTCCGTTTATGTGTTTGTACTTTTTGTTGCAGTTCGGTTCCGGGCATTCCAACAGCACCGGGCTCGCCGGTGGGGATCCGCTAGGAGGCGTCGGCGGCGGGGCGCGTCTCTTGTTCTTGTCTTCTTCCTCCGGTCCCCGCGATTTCCGTTTAGCTGCCGGGTCCGGTCGAGGTGGGACGAACGCGGCTGGACTCGGACTCGCCGCTGGCGAGCCCTGCGCTCCGCGTCGTCCTTTCGCGCCGCCGTTCCTTAGCTTGCTGTGCACCGAACTCCTCGTCTCCGTGAAGTTGCTCAGGTCATTACCCTGTGTCGCGTTCGCCGCGGCCCTTCCGCGTTTCCCGCGACCCTTCGGCGTCCGGGCATCGAGATCGCTGGTCGGCGAGTCGCAGAATCTCGGCGGGGCCCAGTCGTGACGAGTGCAGTCCAGCAATGTACCCACGTACGTTTTCCCTCGCCACGTTACGTTCACCACTAGCACACCTGCGAATCAATAGGTCGAATATCAGTACCTACGCGGCGCACGGAAGTACACGCTCGCGAGCACTTCTGACGGACGGTGATGGCCATTCGAATCTCGGCTTCGAAATGGTTCTTCAGAGTCCCTCGGTACAGCGAACGGTCGAATCGATAAGTCTAAAATCTTGAAGTCCTCCAATTTTCAAACATTCGAATCTTTAGGTTCGCTAATATTTAAATATTCGAATCTTTGAATTCACAAATATACAAATGTTCAAGTCTTTGAATATGCAAATTTTCAAATATTCAAATCTTCAGATTCGCAAATATTTAAATACTCAAATCTTTGAATATACAAATACTCAAATATTCAAACCTTTGAATTTTCAAATATTCAAATGTTCAAATGTTTGAATTTGAAAATTTTCAAATATTCAAATCTTTGAATTTGCAAATATTCGAATACTCAAATCTTTGAATTTGCAAATATTCAAATACTCAAATCTTTGAATTTACAAATATTCAAATATTCAAATACTCGAACCTTCGAATTTACAAATTTTCGAACGTTCAAATCTAAAGATTCGCAGCTTCTCAAACTTTCAGAATTGCGAATCTTTCGGCCGTGGATTCCCATCACCGCCGACAAGTTCCGTCACTCTTATTTTCATACTCACCCCCTTCGGTTTCGTGCCAGACGATACCCTCGAGAGTAACCGACGTACCAGGCTCGCAGGGTCCTAAACACTCTGGCTCGGTAATGGTCCCCACGCTGGTCCCGACGCACACGTCGGACATGTCCTGCAACGTCGTATGCACTGATTTACACATTTGCCGGATCGGGACGCGATTTCGGGGTCTCGGGAATCCCGCGAACCGACTTGTTTTCGGAATTGGGACGAAAACGGCGACGCGGATCGATCGTAAACTCTCGTAAACCCCTCGTGTCACGGAACGGAAGCGGGTTCTCCCTCGGTGTACGCGGTCGCGGTCAATACCACGAGCTCACCGAGAATATCCCGAATCCTAGAATCAACGGCGGCACTGTTCTCTCCGCGCCGATTAACCCGTTGCTTTGCAATTTCCCTCGCAACTATCCTCTTTAAAGCTGTATCACCGTTCGCACACCGTCGGACGCGTATTTTTCGCAAGCGTGTACTAACCCTTCCAGATAAACAATCTCATAAAGCATGGAAAAGGTTTTCAAACGATAGAGGATGATCCAACAGCAATAATTCCGTGTTTCTTACGACTTGATTATGAAGAAAGCAAGTAAACTGAGAGAAAGAGAAAGAGAAAGGAGAGTACAGAAAATCAATTGGAAACAGGTTGCCAAGAAAAATGGAAGATCCACCCCATTGATTGTGTTAATTACTTGAGAAATAGAATTCTGAAGAGTCCACAGGAGAAAGATGTTTAATTTCGTCTTGGAAAGGAAAAGTAATATTTACATTTGCTAAATTCGGCTTCGGAACTTCGGTGCATTTAAACCTCTCGATATTTTCACGTAAGGGGATATTTTCGCGTATTCGTAACGTACTTTCACCGTTCGATCCTCTTCTTCCTTTCTCTCTCGGGTTTATAAGCCACACGAGTAATAACATTGCCCATTTATTACGTACTGCCACGGTTTCGACCGACGATGACGATAAAAGTTTGCGACCGATCGCGTCCGATTCGATTTATTTATTTACTCCCCAGCGGGAAAAGGCGAGTAAACGAAAGTTACAAGCGATAGGAGCGGAAGATTCGTCCCGGGAACGTCTGACTTTGCGACGAAGGGCGCGGAGAGATCGAGAATTCGCTCGGTGGAAAATTGCACGCGATTCGAGCGACCTACTCGTGCGATCAACGCGATCCGATTTTTATCGCGATAATAACTGTTTACGCTCTATCAGCGGAACGCATCATCGTCGAGCTATCGATCGCATGGACCGTCGACGAGGAATTCATTCGACGATCGAAACGAGTCGAACTCGATTTTGACCCTTAGCACTCCAGGTTGTTTTGTAATCTATCGGCAACTGCAACTAATTTTTACAGTATTCCTATCGAAAATGAGAAATACTGTAACATTCCTTTGATCTTTTATTTTCCTTCTGCGTAGAAAATTTGGATGTGCGGAGAATCGAATAATTTTAGGGTGGTTTCTTTAAGATTCATTAAAATATTTAATCTTATAACTGGTGCAATATTGGAGCCTACAGAGTTCAAAGTTTATATATTATACTAATTAAATAATCTTACTATAAACAACAGCAAAAATGATAACCACAGCTGATTCTCGGAGAAACGAGCAAATACGATTCAGATAAACGCAAATTAGATCATAAGCGAATTGAAATCTCGATACACGTAGTTTCCTCAAATTCTATATTCTATATAAACAAAACAATCAATTTCACTGCTTGCTGATTCTAGCGTGAAAGCGCCTCTGGGACACTGCTGGTCAATCGCTGTTAGAAGCAGAGTTGCTGAGGGTTAACCAAGAATCTCCTTCCACTTTCGCCCGACGACGATAACGATAACGATGATCGAACGACTAGCGAACCAATTCCAACACTGTACTTGAATTCCACTTTCACAGCAATTCGATGTTCTCCAGATTTTTAATACATCGCGGACGGATCACAGGAATTCTCAACTTTTCATACCCGTTCAACAGAAATATATCTAGCCATTGGACGAAGCTGTCAACCAAACTCCAGAAGTTTTCCACCGGAAATATTCGATACTTTCTAACGAGATACAAACATTTTCTTAGACTGAATCGAGAAATCTCACGTGCATCGAGGAGAACTATTTCCTTTCAATATTTCGTACATTGATGCATCATACAAAGTTTATTATTACCTATCAAATAAGTAAATAAAATCATTTGACCAAGAGGCGCCTCTGGAGTGCAAAGGGTTAAAATTCTAAGGTCTCCCATACACGTTGGAACGCAGCTATGCAGGCACCGCTACAAGCGATGGGTTTAAGTCTTTCGACGTTTCGTTATTCGTTGCATTCGAGGAAAAAGGTGAAAAAGGCTCGAAGCCGTCGCTTGCAGCGACGCCTGCGTCGCCGCGTGTATCAACTTCCGAATGTCTTCGAACCTCGTTCGCGGTGATTCCAACGTATCGCGGCACGTACGCGTTCGGAACAATTGGAAGAATTGATAACCCATCGACACGAGCCTCCCTCCACTCTTTTCTCGTCACGTCTCGATCCTACCACTCGGTACCCCCTACGCAGCGTAATTCCCTAGACGAGCCATTACCCCCTCTACGTCCTTGTACCTCTACTCGACCGTCAAACGACAGAACCGCTTATATTTCCGCGCTTAAACCGCTAATCGGCCTACGCGCTGCTTCAGTCTACCGATTAAGCGGCATTTGCTCGCTGCCGTCCGTTACTTTGTACCATTCGAACTCTTGCGCTCCGACGGGATCCAGGTGCATCCCGATAACACTGGGGAAAACGATTATCGGAAACCGATTACCCGGCGACCTTCGCCGAAACCTCGGAAGAACCGGCCACGCAGCCGAGAGGATCGGAAAACGAGGATCCATGGGTCGCGATTCACCGTTGATCGGAAGTCTACGAGGGTCGAGAAGGTTGGACTCCAAGGAGGAGGAAGAAGAGGGATAAACGATGAAGAGGCGACGAGAACTGACAGTGACAAATGTAAAGAATAGGAAGGTGATTTCATGGTTGTAGATTGATCAGAAGTCTAAGAACTGCAAGGATGTACGAAGAGGGAGAAAAACGATGAAGCAATGAGAATTAGCGATGGTGAAGATGAACAGAAATGCGAGGTTCCACGGTTAATTTTGTAATCCATCGATCGAAACTCTAAAAATCGCTAAGATGAAAGAAGACGAGAATTGACAGTGACAAATGTAAAGAACAGGAAGGCGAGAATCTATAGGTGATTTCATGTAGATTGATCAGAAGTCTCTAATTGCGCAGATGTACGGAGAGGGAGAAAAACGATGAAGCAATGAGAATTAGCGATGGTGAAGATGAACAGAAATGCGAGGGTTAATTTTGTGATCCATCGATCGAAACTCTAAAAATCACTAAGACGAAAGAAGACAGAAAGAACCAGAGGCACCAAGAATCAACGACGAAATAGACAGACGAGCATCCATGGACGATTTCGTAATTGCCCGTCGAAAATCTCGAAGAATCACGGGGGCGGAAGAGGCAACGAGAATCACCAGCGGCGAATATAAAGAATAGGAAGAACGTTTATCGTTGGTTCGTGTTACGGTAATTATCGTGTCCACCCCCTACCCCCAATCTCCAGCGTCGACGCCGCCCTTTACTACCCGCCAACCAGGACGAAGAACTTTTCTCCGTTGTTGAAAGCGCTGCTTTTTTTTTGCCGGGTTCTTTTGCGTTTAATGCAGAAGCAGGGACGTGCTGCTCGCGACTACCGTCACGATCCAGTTGCGATGATTGCGGCGAGCAACGTGGAACGCACTGCGGCGCTGGCGAGATGTCTTTCGGGTCTGTGTGCTTTGTTTGCGGTATCGACTAACCCATCGACCGAATGACGGCTATAGTTTCTTTCTCATCGTTATTGTTTTCATTCGGTTGGTTTTCAATCCGGTCGAATTAGAAATGGTGTTATCAACGTGTCGTGTGATAGCGTCTCGTTCGCGTTTTGTGGAGGAAGCGAGAGAATGTTCGGAAAATGTCGGAGGCTGTAAATGATGGCTAGGGCTGTCAAGTGTTAATTTACAACCTGGCAAGCGATGTTTGCAGCGAGGATACGTTCCGAATAACTACTAGGAACTGTATCGAATATGGAACACTGGCGGCAATCGAGTTTTTCACGGCATCGAAAGAACGTTTTAAGGGAGAGGTGTGTGCGTCAATGGGTTCGTTTCCATGTGACGGTATCGATGAATATCAAATCAGCGTCGAAAATGCCGCGATTCGACCCGCATTCCTTTCAAAAGCAAACTCGCCAGCCGCGAGGACATGCCGCATTTCGATGGTGCGTTTCCCAGTTTCAGCGACGCGACGGGGATCATTTTCCGTGTTGCGCATCGTTATTTTACTGTTAACACGTTGAATGCCGTGGGGATCGCCACCGAGAATCCGACTGAATCAAATCACCGTGATTCGTTCAATTAAAAGATAATTGCTCCCAACTTTTCACGAACGACGCAACATAGAGCGGCGATATTCATCAAAAGAAATCTGTAAAAACGATAACGAGCCACGGTTACTGTATTCAGTGCTGTGTGCACCGAATTTGGTACTAGGTGAAACCAATTTCCACGGCGAGCGAGGTTTGTGCCATTGAGAAATATATTGCAAGAAAGTTCGTACTAGAATAACGCGCGAACAATTGTTAGCATTTTTACATTGCAGCTTTCGATTTCAACAGTCGCTAAGCGATGAATGTGTAACAATTCGTTGTTGTGTCTTTTCAATAAAACTCTATGCGACCTACGTTTACGCAAGATCGTTTCCTCATTTGGTGCCATGGAATGTACAAAGCTTGAAGATTAAACCCTGGGACGGCCTGTATGTAGCATTTTCGGTATACGCGACATTTTGAAACCGTTCGGTAAAAACTGGCTAAGAGAAATATTTATATAAATAATTTGATACTGTATTCTTTAGGCGGCGTATATTTCACTGCGCGAAATCCCCAGCGCCCGGAGCAAAATACACGAAAACCGGCCGGCATTCAACGCGTTAAGCTCGTTCGCAGGCTCGTATGGATCGAGTCGGGTAGTGCGAACGCGTAGATAAAGCGAGTAACCGCCGGTAGGTAGAAACGGACACGCGTCGGCATCTCGTAACATAATATGTACCCGTAGAAATATTGATTCACGTCGGGGGGGCTTTCGCGCCATCTGCGTTTCGATCCCGCGTATCGCGTTCATCGCGCCGGGCGAGAGACAAAGGACAAGAGATTGAGGATCGAGAAACGAGAGACGAGGAGTAAGGATCAAGAAACACCCGGTGTTCTCGCGAAAGGCCACTCAATTCGCGAACCACGCTACCAATCGTCGCCGGAGAGTTCAACGGACGATAAGTGCGAACGCTTATCTGGAGAAAGAAGCTGAACGACGGACGCTCGACGATCCGCGGCTGCGGGAGAACTCTGATTTCGGATTCGCGATCGATCTAGATGTCTCGATCGGTCGCGAATGAGCGATTAATACGATTACGAACGGGCGTTACTTGGAAAGAAGGCGAATCAAAGATCGGTAAAGATTTGCGGAGGAAGTTCGCTGTTGGACTCGTGATCGATAGAACAATCACGATCGGTTCGACGGTAAATAGAATTATAAACCGGCGTTATTTGACAATGGAAGATGAGGATGAAAGGCGAGTGAAGATCGCGAAGGAAGTTTGTGCGTTGGCGATCGATACGAGATTGTCGATCGGACGCGGATCAAGAACAAACAGCGATAAGAGACGTCTAATCGGAAGGAAGCGGAAAGTCGCGGAGAACGGTGAAACGAGAAACTCGGCCGGACGGTTGTCCGCTGCTCGTATTTGTCTCTATGTATTCGTTCGTGTACTCTCGGGGGCGGAGACCGCAGAGTATTGATTTCACCCCCTTCGCGTGCCCCTCGGTCGCTTCCGTCCCCCGAGCCAACAGCCCCTAGTCCCCAAGCCGAGATTTCAACTCGTAACAGCCACCCACCTCTTACGATTCCACGACCATCCGAATTTCGTGGAAACCATCGTCGTCGACGACGATGTCGGCGGCGGCGGCGACGACGGCGACGACGAAAGGCGGTCTCTAGCATCTCGCGAGAGCAACGATCGCGGCGCTACGTCCGAAGCCGTGCGAAAGTTTCCGGTCCGCGCGGCGACTCGATCGACCCGCGCATCGAGCGCCAGATTCGATCGTTGGAGCGACGAACAACGAAATCTGGGGAAACACTCGCGATGGGCATCCGAATACCAGTTCCGAAGCAATCCGATGTTTTCGGGACGGTTCGAGCTCGAATCGCTTCGAAGGAGAGGACGCGACACCCTAGAACTCTTGAATGTCTCGAAAGCGTTGATGTCTCAACGGTCTGCGAGTGTCAACCATTTCGAGGACTACTGGCTGCATCGGGTTTACGTAATCAGAATCAACAGTTCCGAGCAGAGAATTTAATAATGCAAAGAACAAAGGATCATTACATGGTTTCCTTATTTTCTAATACTTCGATGCTCCCAAAAGTCCAGGGTCCACCGTGACGATACATCGCACAGAGGTGACTGGTACCGTGTCCAGGACTTTCAAGACATTCAAGAATTGGAGGCTATCGAATCGCACTCGAAGCGATCCGAACGTTTCAAGTTCGAACGTTCCAAGTGGTCGTGACCCGTCACTAGGGGACGGAGAACGCGAAGAACCGCGTCGAGTCTGGAGATCAGGAGCATCACCGGTAGGGGCGTCGCGTCGCGTTACCTTTGGTTCAGAGGCTGAAGTCTTGAGTTTCTTGGCAGGCGGGGGACTTCCCGCCGAGTCCATAGCGTCGTCACTGGTCACGATGATGGAGGGTCCGTTACCGGCGACCGCGGCTAGTTTGGTCTGCTCCGGCTTGGCGGCCAGTCCGGCGGCGGACGCGCTCGCCGGGCTTGGCGGCGGACAAGGGGCTGTAACGGAGCCGGACGGCGGGCCGGGCCCTTGGGAG